GACCCATTGTGTGAGATCAGGTGTGGCATTTTCCACTGAGGCACCACATTACTGCACAAAATTGTTCAGATTTTGGAGCACAGGGTTTCGGATTTTCAGATTAGGGATGCTCAACATGTACAACATCCTTGCAACAATCTAGGTGTGAGCTTTCCTCAAGAGCAAGAAGAGCTTGCCACTTCCGCTATATGACCACGGTGAAGCCAGCCTGTCACCCTCCTGCCCTGAATGACCCCAGGGAGCTCTACAGAGGTCCATGGCTGTGGGAGGCCAGTAATTGTCTAGGAGAGCTCAGTGCCACTTGCAAAGACCACAGATCTCTCTAGAAATTGTGGGCTGAGCAGGTGAAGGCGGCTGGTCAGGCCCATGAAGGAGCCTAGTCAGCCATAAGGAAAGGTTCACTGTGGGGCCCCCGACTTCCCATTCCTGATCTCCTTTTCACCTCTGCTGCCCACTTCCTTTTCTCTTTCCCTCCAACTATACCTCATACTCTGCTCCTGATGACACTCAAATCTTACCCCTCCCCGCCCCCCGTCAAATAAAAAGAGCCTAGCGGCTCTTGTAAGAACTGTGTATTCATTTCCTAGTGTTGCATTAATAAGTTATCATAGACTTAGTGGTTTAAAACAACACAAATTTGCCAGGCGTGGTGGCTCACGCCTGTAATCCCAGCACTTTGGCAGGCCAAGGCGAGTGGATCACCTGAGGTCAGGAGTTCGAGACCAGCCTGACCAACATGGTGAAAACCCGTCTCTCCTAAAAATACAAAAAGTAGCCAGGTATGGTGGCACGTGTCTGTAATCCCAGCTACTCAGGAGGCTAAGGCAGGAGAATTGCTTGAACCTGGGAGACGGAGGAGGCAGTGAGCTGACATCACGCCATTGCACTCCACATTAGGCAACAAGAGCGAAACTAGGTCTCAAAAAAAAAAAAAGAAAAAGAAACAAAACAACAACAACAAAAAAACCCATACAAATTTATTCTCTTATCATTCTGGAGGTCAGAAGCCCAACATAAGTTTTAAGGGGCTAAAACAAATGTCTGAAGGACTGGTTTGTTCTGGAGGCTCCAGGTATATAATCCATTTTTTTGAATCTTCCAGCTTCTAGAAACTGGCATTTTTTAGCCCCTGGACAGATCACTCTAATGTCTGCGTCTGTCATCACACCCCCTTCTCCCTGACTGACCCTCTCGTCTCTCTAAGGACTCATGTGATTATATGAGGGGCTCATCTCAATAATCCAGGATAAGTTCTTTATCTCAAGGTCCTTAATTTATTCACATCTGCAGAGTTCCTCTGCCATATAAGGTAACATATTCACAGATTCCAAGGATTGGGATGCGGATATCTCTGTGGGGCTATTATTCAGTCTACCCCAAATGTGCACTCCTCCCCGAAGTATTTCTCTTTGAGCACCAAGGGGAACTCTGCCTTCAGCTAAGGCTACACAACTAGCCTGATGGTGAACTGTAGCAACTTGTAGGCAAGGGGTACAGCTCAGGGCAGCTACCCCTCCCTCTTCTGGGGCCAACCTGGAGGAAGTTCCTTCCAGAGTCCAGGTTATATTGCTTCTGGCCTGCAAATTCCTGAGAATTCTTTGAAACCTAGGAGGGGCCTGGGTATTATGCCCTTTTGAGTGAGAATTCAGAGGCCAGTGGAATCAGGGCAATCAGGCATTTCCTGATCATCTACTATGCTCCAGGATGCTGACTTGGAGAGGTGAACAAGGCAAAATGCCCATTCTGACGGCACTCAGAATTTCGCAGGGAACTGGAAGGATAAATGAATCCGGGAGGAACTGCTAAACCAGAGGAGAGGGTAAGCTTGTTAGAACCTGAGAAGAATGCCGTCTGAAAAGGTAGAGAAGTCAGGAGAAGCAGTGAGGCCCTCAACCGTGTGTGTCACAATGCCTCCTGTCACTTCCTTTCTGAGCTTCCAGTACAAGCTTCTCCGTGGGTGTTTTCTGCCCGAGCACCTGAACTTTGGAGACCTCGCACTTTGGACAAAGTCCCTGGCCCTGACACTTAATAGTTTTGGGAACTTGGGCAAAATACTCAAAGCTTCCTAGTCTGTAAAATGAGAATGATGAAACATCTGCCTTCCTTGCAGGATTGTTGTGGTGATGTATAAGACGTAAAATACGAAGCACAGTCAGCAGTCACTGAGCTTAAGGAATGTTAAGTTATAATCATTATTTCTGAACTTTGGTGCACAATACAACCCTGTTGACACCTCCTTTGCCTCCTTGGGACATATTCTCTTCTGGTGGTCCTCATCCCTTTCCAGCTATCCTCTGTCTCTTGGTATTCTCCTAATCTACTAACTCCCATCAATGTTCCTGCTTGCCCAGAGTGCCTGTCTCAGCCTTCTTCTTTTCTCCCCAACCCCTGCGAAGATCTCATCAAATTCCCTGCCTTTCATTTTCCTTATCGATTTGCTGACGGCTTACTGACAAGTATCTCCAGCTGAGACCCTTTACTGATTAGAGTAATAACTACTGGTGGATGTGTTCTCCTAGATAGAGAACAAGAATCTCAATTTTCAATGTCGGAAGGGACTTTATGCATCTTTTTGCTTTCAAAAGCAATTTCTGTCTGGGTGTGGTGGTCCATGCCTGTAATTCCAGCACTTTGGGAGGCCAAGGCGGGTGTCTCACTTGAGGTCAGGAGTTCGAGACCAGCCTGGCCAAAACGGTGAAACCCCTTCTCTACTAAAAGTACAAAAAATTAGCTGGGCGTGGTGTCAGGCACCTATAATCCCAGCTACTTGGGAGGCTGAGGCAGGAGAATCGCTGGAACCCGAGAGGGGGAGGTTGCAGCAAGCAGAGATCTTTCCACTGCACTCCAGCCTGGGCAACCGAGAGAGACTCTGTCTCAAAAAACCAAAAACAAAAAGAAAAGCAATTTCTTTTCTCTGCATTCTCCATGTTACTAAAATCTAACATCAACCCCATAGCTCCTCAGGCCAGAAACTCCTTTGTTGCATGCATTCTCCAAATGCCTAAATC